CACGCACAAATGTCGAATATACCCGATCTCTCACCCCCCCCCTCCCCAACAAGAAGAGATCCAACGGGGTTATGTCAGGGGAACGTGGGGGCCATCGTGTTTGTCCATTTCTACCAATCCTTCTGTCTGGGAATGTGTTGTTGAGGAACTTTTTCTAGTAATCACTATTCCGACAACGGATCTGCAACAGAAAGGAGGAAAAAAAACCAACAAAACTTTATGGGTTGTTCATAAAGTTAAATAAAACCGGAGTGTTCTATCTGTAATATTTATGAAGTTATTAATTTTCAAAATGGTCAGATAATTTATGGACACCCTGTATTACAATAATTGTCCTTCTATTTAAATACCCACCCCCATCCGTTGGCACAGAGTTACACGAGCTTGTAACACTAAAATAAGGGTTATATTCTTGAACACAGCACGGGTAGTTACTTTACTGTGTAGTAGGCAGAAGAACCCCACCCCCTTTTTTAAAATAAAAGAACTGATGCGATTCGATGCATTAATTTTACATGGAATCTATAAATTCTTCCGGAAGTGTGACGCCCGTGTAACTAACTATATGCCGCCCTAAATGATTCTATTGTAATATTTGGGCGTTTTGATCATAAAACTATTACACGAATGTAATTTCGGGCGAAGAGGTTCCATAAATCCATGTAAATTAATGCGTCAAATCGCAATAATAGTCTCTCTTTTTTTTTTTAAGGGGGGGGGAGGCTAGGACGTTCTGGTTGATTATGTAGCTTTGTCTTTAACAACAAACCAACCTATTACCGAAAAATGCAACCCGCAATCCTCTAATAATATTATCGAATATAATTATGATGTTAGAAAAACACGTAGGCTCAAGAAGTCTTGATACAAGATGATAAAACCCTATAAAGTCGTAGGGTTTCTATCATCGAAGTTGACATTATAATAAACTGTGAATCTCCTTCATTTTGGAAATACAAAAACACGGACAATGTCTAAGTATCGTTAGAAAAAGTATGCATCGGTGCCTGCCGCTTTCTTTGTATAGGTCTTGAGAATTAACGTATCGTTAAAACTTCTCAACAAAACTTATTAACTAATATATATATATATATATGTCAAAATGCAAAATAATGGTTAAACTCGCTGTACGGGAGAAAAGGAAAAGATATTTATATGGTCAATGTTTCGAGCAAACGATCTGCATGCAATGCATTACCAAACTAATTGTAATAGCCAGTCATCATTAATTATGCTTTTGATAAATAGTTTGTATGGAGCGTAGAAGAGTCCTAAAACCTAATGCGATTGTAAAAAAAATATTGCCGTGTTTTGATGGCAACTTTGAACAAGAGAAAAATTCACTACACTAATTTCCACGCACGTACTCAGGTGAGGTTCGGGCGAATCCCCAATTTTTGTGATATAAAAGAAATTATGCTTGTTTAGTTATATCGCAGCTGCTTATGGTATCTGATGTGTTGGATGTTTGTGGATTTCATATGAACAGCTAGGCAATTGTTTAAGCTATATTTCATGCAAAATTGCTTCCAGACTTAATCTCGTAGCACCTATTTTTATTTATTTTACACATTTTCTGGGGGGACACGCCCCCAGACCCACGTAGTATTAGCATAATACGTGTTGGCCTTTGATCTATCAAATTACAATTCTCCTTTTCCAACATTCTGCGCACGGGCTTGAATTCTTTGCCTATATTTAGGGTTCGATCTCTTGCTTCGAAAAAGTTTTATAAAACTCTCAACAGGTTTTGATGTTGATGAAAACTATTCCCAAAGTAAGGCCACTTCTACTCGTGGCTATTCCATTTTGACCTTGATTTGTACCGTGAGATTGGTTTTCAATATGTTCATGACATATAGGACGCTGCGCACCTAGTAGAAACAACAGTGAATGTTTACATTCTTCTTATTACTGCTGCTGGTTGAGGTTTATTCAGTCATTAAAGTGTGTTGATCACTGGACGAGCTAAGACAATGAGAAGAAATGGTTGCATTATTCTTACTGAGATATGGTAAACATTTCTTTTGGACATTATCCTAATGTATGTTGACTAGTCATGCACTAAATATTGTCTGTTATAGGAAAATCACTTTGCAAAGGGTAATGGACTTCTACCCACTAAAATATTGACACAAACGGGAGAAAGAACTAATTTTCAAATTATGTCTCGGCGAGAGGCTAACCGATGAGCACAAAAACCGTATTGTTCGAAAACCATTACTATCGTTGAAAGGCAGTTTTAAGTTTTTTATTATCGTTTGCTGGATATTGTGATGGCGATAACAGCCAAGAACTTTTGTATGATTGACTTCTGATTTTAGGGTTGAAAATGAAACCTAGGTGATTTTGATAAAGAAATTCTTAAAGAAAACATTTGTTAATTAATCAGACCAATAATTTCATTATTTTTGTTTACCCACAGTCTGCATGCTACCATCCAACTGTTAAAAATCGTAGTATTGAGTTTGGTAATCCCGATGTTACAAGTATGATAATTTAAAAAAATAGCTAATCTCTCAAATAATAAGAAATAATTCATTGTATTGTTTGTTAATATGATTAAAATTTAATCAATTAATGACAAGTTGATTTTCCTGGAAGACAAAATATATCTGTTAGTAAGATTATTCTACCCTTATTATTGCTACTTTATTCTTAAAATGAAGGCCTTCACTGGGTCTAGCCATATAGGCTAACCCTTTGAGCCCAGCATGCAACCCCTTCACCTCAATTTCATCTTGGTGATTGACAATGGTTCTCAGGGATTTTATTACATAATATGAGAATCACTTGTACATACTGCCATATTATTTTGTGAAGTTGGTCCCAGGATGCATTCCCCCTTCTCTGTATATTACCTAAACATTATGTTACATGAAGAAATTTAATTTGAGTTTTCTTCAAGTGAAAACTTTCCATTATTTTCAGCCTTCACGGGTCTAATCTCTACTTTTATTTGTGAAGACAGTTTCAAACATTCATTTACATGCACTAATAAATGTGTAGTCAAATGTATCTTGGCAATCCTTAACCTTCAGTAAAAACAAAACAAACTTTTCCTTGATCACTACTGTTTGTTATATCACTCAAATTTTTAGACAACAAAAAAAGATAATCGAGTTTTCTATACAGCTTTGATACTTCAGTTTTTATATACATGTACCTTTTGATGTGTATATCTAAAGTTCCAAGGAGTTAAGCATATAAATGATAATGTGACTGATGTGTTTATATATTTCAAAGTTCTCTGGTTCTAAAGAATAAGCAGAAATGGGAAAAATGAAACAAGTCAAGAATATGTTAATTAATTATATCTTCCTGACAGTTATTTGATGTTAAATATATATATATATTTTATTACATAAAGTGTCCTTGTTTCTTTTTAGTTGTAAAAGTAATTGATTTTTTTAAAAAATTTTTTGTCCTAAAATCTTATTATTAGACAGTTTAAATTTGATCACAAAATATCAGCAGTAATAATAAACTGTGTACATTTATGCATGTAATTTGCTTGTTTGATGTTTTTATTGCGTTTACACATAATTCATTCATCATATGAAGAGTTGACTTGGACATGGTGGAGCTTAACTGTCTCTCTCTTTTTTTTTCAGTCTGATTTTTAACTCAGTCATTTTCCTTCATTGAGTCATGTCTTTCACAAAACCATTGCTTCTGTTTATTGTCCTGATTGAATTTAAAACACCAGTCTTTTCACGAAGAACAAGTCCAGAAGATTACTTCTCACATGAAACAGATGTGTTACCAGATCAGCTTTCCTGGCTATCTAATAGAAGAAAAAGTTCAGAATATTCCAGCTATGGAACTCCAAGATCAGGAGGAAGGTCACTAAATAAAAATCCTAACATTATACTTGTAATGACTGACGATCAAGATGTTGAATTAGGTAAAAACAAAACACTGCTGGTAATTAATAATGTTAAATCTTATTTCCCTATTTAGGTACAAAAATGTGTAAAATATTTTGTGACTTTTTGTCTGTTTTTGAGAAATGTACCCCCATAGTGACAAAAGTTTATTGTAATGGTTGAGGTGAAGCTGTTTTGAAATGTTATTAACTCTGAATTGAATCATCATATCAACTGATCTTTTGTCAACTGTTATGGAAGTTTTATTTATATAAAGCTTTGTAAATATTAAACAAATGTACTAAAATTAAAGACTTAAGGAAAAATGTTAACAAATTGTATATATAATGTCCATTTATTATAAATATAACATTGCATATGTGTATGGTAGAGATTAGTGAAAAAATAATGACCATTTACTAGTAGAGAGAGAGGATACTAAGCTGTAACATCTAACAAAATGAGTTTTTTGTTTATCATATTAAAATTGTGATAAAAATGTAACTTAAGATTATGTTGTTCAATTTTTTTAAATACTTTATCAGAATTATCATAGTGTCTTTAAATATGAAAAGTAAAGTCAAAGTGATTGCATGTTTTTTTAAAAACTAATCATTAATTTCATGTTAATAATAACTACAAAAATATCCTTGCCGAAAGAGAATAAAATTCCTAGCCACAATATATTTAAAAAAAATAAAGGTTTTAGGAAAGCAAACATTTTCCAATTCTAATGTACAAGTATGTCAGGAATAGTTAAAATTAACCATTAAGTGTTTAGTTTTGTTAATATACACACACACACACACACACACACACACACACACACACACACCTGTATCAAGCTGTGTAGTTTTCTATTTAATGAAAAATAGTGTGCTTTTTCTGCTTTTTCACATAAAAAAAAAAGTGTAGGCTTTTATAAGTTGCAAAATCTACGATACACCAACTAAAAAATGTCCTGATATATGTAACAATGCATTCTAAACTATATAATAAAGGCCAGGTTAAGTTTTAGTTTCGTTTTAAGTACGTTGCTTATTCTAATTAGAGGTTATTATTATTTTAAAGTTTTATGCTTAAGTTGTCAGTATACGAAAAGCAAAAATGGATTGTTTTTCAAAAATATCACCACCACACCAATTTCATTAGTTACTTATGGGAACATCTGCTATAAAAATGTGAAGATAAGAACAGTTAAAATGAGTGTATGCATTTTAAATGGAGGAAATGGAAATCACAGTATTTCTTTGCACTGCAAGCAAATGATGTAGAGTATTATGCATGCGAAAATTAAAATAGTTTAACTCCATGATAGGAGAATTGCTTTTATAGGTTAGAAAGGCAACAGTTTCCTTTTTTGAGATGTGATGTTAAGAACTGAATAGAAAACTGTTATCTAGAATGTTTAACACATAAACAAGAATGAAGTAACTGCTTGAATAAAATGGAAATATAATAAAACTGAAGACCTTCTAAAGTAACTTCTAAACTAGGAATAGATGAATTAGTACCTTGACAAAGACCTTCTAAAGTAACTTCTAAACTAAGAATTGATGAATTAGTACCTTGAAAATAACCTTCTAAAGAACTTCTAAACTAGGAATTGATGAATTAGTACCTTTTATTCAGATTCATACAAGTTGGTTAATATTGACGTTGAAGAAATTAATTAAAAATGGACAATGAAAATGATGTTTGTTGTTAAATAAAATGCACTGTGATATACTACTTGATTAGCTTATTCGTATAAACCTTTGAAGCTAAAACTTTGAAAGTGTTTAAGGAGTTTCTAACAAATCCAGTAATATAAGAGTATCTTGTGAATTGGCACGAACCTCAATCCACAGCTAAAGGTATGAAACTATGTTAACCGATTAAGTGCGGATGACAGATATTTCCATCATTTCATCGGAAATATCCGTCAATTGCAGATATATAACTATAACTCTATCCAAATGACGATAATTACCATTTTATTGTGATTGATGGCAACTCAGTTTTATCTGCGAGTCAGAAAATGGCAACTGAGATGCTCCTGCAGCAGTTAATAGGTTAAGGAAGCCATAACTATCATATTATCCAATCAGTTCTTTACCAGGGAAGTTTTTACAAATTTATTGTTTTTTAATGAAAACAAAATGCGCTATGTTTAAACTTTCCTAATGTAATATTAAAAGTAAATCAAAGGAACTTGTTAATATCTTTGATAATAGTAAAAAAAAAGATTGATAGTCTAACAAATTATCACCTGTACAATTTGTTTGGATGTATGTTTTTAATTCAAAGAATTCAGTATTATTTATCAAGATGACTTAGGAATATATTTTTAGCTTAAATTTTATTAAACCAAAAGGATAGTCATATCACAGTGTTCTTTGTCATGATAAACTACTGTAGGTGCCCAAAACATCACCAACTTTCACACTTTACTACATTTCTTTATCATTCTCAGTTCACCCCAAAGAAGGAAGGTATACACTGTGAAAGTTTTGAGGTTGTCAGGTTTTGTATATATTGTTACAATAAGAAAGACCTTTTTTAATTATAGATATTAAATCCAAGGAACTTGTGTGTGTAGTTTTTGTTTTGTTCAAAATAATGCTATAGGTAGAGGTCTTTAACTTAAAATTTATATTCTGTTAAACAGTATTAATGCATATTTCTGTATACATGATTTTTTTAATACTTGATATCATTCTAATGTAGGACTTGTATCTTTTGAACAGGGTCATTAAACTTTATGCCAAAGACTTTGAGGATACTTGGTGAAGGGGGTGCTCGTTTTCCTAATGCTTACGTCACAACTCCAATGTGTTGCCCTTCTCGAAGTTCAATGCTAACTGGCCTTTATGTACATAATCATAATGTTTACACCAACAATGACAACTGTAGTTCTTCAAAGTGGCAACAGGAGCACGAGACACGAACATTTGCAGCGTATCTGAGCAACGCTGGGTACCGAACAGGTAAGCTGTAAATTAATTAAAAACTGCTATATACTGAATAGATAAGTTATGGAATACATGAATAAACAGTTCTGGATACCAAACAGGTTATATTTGAATTACTGTATTTGAGCAACGCTGAAAAGCAAGCATGTAAATACATGAGAAGTTCTGGATGCTAAAGAGTGAAGTATTTTTATTTTTTTCCTTGAGCTATGTTGGGTACCCAGCAGGTTATTTATGAATTGTTTACCTGTTTATGGCTGGCTGCTGAATGAAGTTTTGTTTGAAAAACATGTGTACAATATCTGGTACCAAAAAGATCAGTTTTAAATTACTTTAGTTTCAAATACACTGAAAATCATTAGAATGTTGACATATTTCATAATTTGTATAATAATAATAATAACTGTTTAAGTTAAGAGTTTTTTTTTTAAAGCCAGTTTCTACATTTAATATAACCCAAAGCAACATCAAGAATGAGGACACTAGGTGGCTCCTTGGTACACAACTATCCATAGAAATTTATCTTCAAAGACACATTACAAGCAGATGATCTATTTTCAACTGTCTTGTTTTTTGTTTTTTTTTACTGCTGATTAATATAAAGTTTAGGTAAACAATGCTATAATTGAAACCATCAAATTCCGTGAGCAACCAGTAATGATGTAGTATATTTAACTACGATCCATACAAATGAGTGGGTTGACTGAATACTCCAATATCTGCAGCTGAAACAAGTACAAAGAAAAATATACTAAAATATAATAATTTTCTTTGAAAATTAAAATTCAGAGCACTGATAAGACTTTTTGTTTTTATCTATTAACATTTGTTGTACTTAATTTTTTGGGCTTTGAATCTTTAATGGATTCCTTAATTGTGTATTTTTGCATGTTAATTGACTGATATTTAATTGTTTCAACCCATTTATCATCTGTGTATTGAACTAAGTCTTGTAATGCTTGGGGATGCCTTGAATGGGTAATGAAGAGAAACGTTAATACAAGTTTAACAAAACAGCAAATATACAACGTTTCAACAAGGTTTTGATGTCCTTTTGAAATAAATGTTTTTTTCTTGAAGGTGATTAAAATATGAAGTAAAATGAAACGTGTTTTGATTAGCCATTTATTTTAGAAAGTGGAACAGATATTTTGTTTCATAAAGTTTTATTTTACATCTTAAAGCATACTATAAAATCTGGTTCTTTTTCAAAACATTTAAGATAGTGAGCTATTGTTATTTTGAAACGTTTTTCTGCAGAGAAGTGACTAATCAAGAAAGCAATTTTTTTATTATAATTTTAATATGTTAGATTTAATGTAGTTGCTTATCAGTTGATCTCTGTTTATATTGGGCACATTTTGTTGCTTTGTTATTTTTGGAATTGTTTTGATTTATTGGGTTCACATTTTGGTGTGTGGAACTTCCTTAACTTTGTTTAATAATTATATCTGACAAAGTTTATTTTGTTTCTAGCTTATTTTGGCAAGTATTTGAATGAGTATAATGGGAACTATATACCACCTGGTTGGAGAGAGTGGGCTGGTCTGATAAGGAATTCACGATTTTATAACTATACAATCAATATGAATGGTAAAAAAATCAAACATGGTGATGACTATTACCAAGACTACTATCCCGATTTGATTGCTAATGACAGTGTGGCCTTTCTACGACAATCAAAACAGTTTTTTTCCAAAAAGCCTGTAATGCTGGTGATGTCCTTCCCATCACCTCATGGACCTGAGAATGCTGCTCCCCAGCATCAACATCTTTTTCACAACATCACTACACACAGGTAATTGTTCTTTATAATCTGTTTATTGGCTTAAACGATAACTTAAATTACTACTTTTAACTGAAAGTTTTCAACAGAAACTTGTATAGAAATTGTAAATGTTAAACTGAATTATTTTAAGCAGCTACATAATACATGCATTCCAAGGTTAGTGTTAATGATGATCACAGAACTGTCTTCAGCTAAATAACTTCAACAGACTTGCTTATCTATTTTATAGGTACCTTTAAAATATCCGGCCTTTGTTGCTGAGTAAATGATTGAAAACTTACAGCTTTATAACACTTCACAGTTTCAGTTTTAAAGATACTAAATTTGATAGAAAAATATTGTTAAGAAAAAAAAGACTTGAATTGTTCAGCTAATCAAATCTATGCTTGTAACTTGTGTAACATCATCAAGTCTTAAGTTTTTTGTCAACTGTTTGGTTATCTATTAAATTTGAGGCTTGCATATTAGTCTGTCTATAACTTCTAACATTTTCTACTTACCTAAACTAATCAATGACGAGGAACCCACTTTGAGACTAATAATACTTGGAGACGGCTTGAATGGGTAATGAAGAAAACTTTAATATAAGTTTAACATAACAGCAAATGTACAACATTTTGACAAGGTTTTATCATCATCAGGTACAAGTAGTTTACACTGACACAGGTACACACACACACACACACACACACACACACACACACACACACACACACACACACACACACACACACACACACACACACATATTAACAGCAACCATAACATTTACAAGGTATACTAATACAGATGGTGTTTATAGTTGGTGGCTTGTTTGATTATTATTTTTGCTGGCCTAGAAACTGATATCAACAATATTCTTATTACTTGTACATTAACTTTCCAATCAGCTTTACATAAAATAGTATGTGCAAATTGTTTATGAAATAACTGGAAATAAATTATTGGAATTTCAAAATTAGATATGTTGATATTTCTAATCTGACTTTTATTGCCATATATGTATAGAAAGAAGAATTACACTCAACTGAATAATCTATACTTCTTTAAGTATAGGAACTGTCCTGAGATAGTACTACCATCTGTGGTATAAATGCATAAATAACAATTTATATATTATTCTCTAGTAAAACATCAATTTAGCTTCACAGGGTTGTACTTTTCCTCAGCAATATATTGTATATAGCCATTGTAAAACCATCTTTTAATGCACAAAAAGGTTGAAAAACATTGTGCCTTACATTTTAGTTGTTTTTATATCTATATTATCCTTGTTTTTAATAAAAGATTAATATCGCCAGTAATGCTATATACTCCTATTTATTCATAAATTGACTCACTGGCAAATGCAAGGATTATGAAGCACATTACTTGTTCAAGTTAAGGCCTTGTTTTCTTCATTTATACTATGATTTTTTTTCACTCGTATTAGAAATTGTATGTGCGATTAGGACTGAATCTAACAAGTTACTCTTTTTAATATATATGTTGTACTGCATTATAACCTTGTATATTTTGATAAAAATAATTTATCACCATCTACTTTGTTTAGGTCTAATTAATGTTCTTTTAAAAGACCGAATTTTCAAGTATATTTGAAAAAAAAAGTGCCAAGAAGTGCTCTCTGAATATTAAGCATGTCACATGTGTCAGCTTTGAAAATTACAAATGAATATAAATACAAGAAATGCACATGAAATATGTTGAATGTGGAGAATAAAATAAGACTTTAAAAACAGTAGTTCACATAAATGCTTTAAAGTTAGTTATTTTCATTTGTTTATATGTACCGGAATAAATTTAACTTGTAGTAATGCATAAATATTGTTGAAAATTTAAACTAATCGTAAGTCTAAGTGTTATATTTAACTTTTAGTAAAGCATACGTTTTGATGAAAATTTATGCTTGTCATAAGTTTAAATGCTGTATTTCTCTAGGACACCAAGTTGGGACTATGCCCCAAATAAGGACAAACAGTGGCTTCTTCGTTATACAGGAAAAATGGAACCCATCCATATGAAATTTACTGATGTTCTTCATACTAAGCGATTACAGACCTTACAGTCAGTTGATGATGCTATAGAAAAAGTAAGAATATTTAAAAAAACAAAAAAAACCTAGCTTTTCACTCAGCTAGGTAACAAGATTATTTTTAGAAATGTATTAAATTATAAACCAACAAAACTTGTTGAGACTGTTTTTGAATTTCATTTTTGAATATTAACATAATTTATCACATTATGAATCAAACTCTGAGAAGTAGTTTGTGAAGTTTTACTAAATTCAGGATTTTACATTTTTTTACAACAATGTCTAATTTTTTGTAGGATTAGTGAATACTACAGTTTTAAAATATGTTAGTTTGTTTCATGCACCAATGATTTTTCTAAATTTCTAATGAATTGTAAAAAAGTAACAATAAATGTAAACAATGCTAAGTATGAAAATGTATGAATAAAATTGCAGTTTTGTTTAATTAAAAGTTTCTTACAGTTAGGTTGTTAACAACAAAAGGAAAATATGGTTAAACACAACAAAATAAAAAATTTTTTGTAGTAAGATTATTACAATCTAATTAATTCTTACTGGATTCTGTTTTAAATTGAAAAATGACTGGCAGACTTATAGAAGCAATAAAAGTTTGATTTAAATCAAAAATACAAAATACTATGCTTAATAGTTTCTCATTCCAAGACACAATGAAAAAACAAACCCAAACTCTTCTTAGTCAAAACTGTCAAAAGTTTCAAGGTAATCACAATTATAAACAAGGCCCAATGTAAGAGCTAAGCCTATTGTGTAACTGCTGCCATATGTTTAGATTTAAAAGATAGTATGAAGGCCTTATTTTTCTGTGAAATATCTAATCCAGTTTGTGGTTTTATAAACTTGTCTAATGATTTAAAAAATAAAAATAATAATGTTTTCTTGGTAGCAGAAAATTGCTTACTCACCAGGTTATTTCTGGTTTTTCATTTTATCCATAAATAGTGTTATTGGTTAGCTGAATTCTAAATATTGTAACCCAATATTTTTGAGTAGGGGTGGTGGTTTAAAGGATGTACCATAACAAATTGTATTTACAAATTAAATTTTTTTAATAGAATTTTTTAAATTTCTGTTGCTTCAAGACTTGAAACTAATAGTACCAACTATGCTTTAGATTTACATTCAAAAGTTATTTATTCTTAGAAATATCTGTAATAAATAGCTGTAAGTTATTTAGCATCAAAAATTATATATTATTTTGAAGTAATGTAGAATTCTAATTATCCAGTAAAACATTTTTTACTAATATTACCATATGTATCACTTACCATATGATAAAGGAGTAAATATAAAACTTGTCATAATTGTTTTAATTTGTGTGAATAGCTTGTCAGCATTAACATTTTGTCTATATAAAATCTTTTTTGTGGAAAATCACATTTTTTGTGCATTTTTTACAATTCCTATAGTATTATAGTTCTTTTTTTTATTTTTCTAGTAATATAATAACTTAATCAGTTTCTAACTTAACATGTATACTTCTTTTTGTAGCTGTACAATGAGTTAAAATATCTTGGAGAACTTGAAAACACCTACATATTTTATACATCTGATCATGGCTATCATTTGGGTCAGTTTGGTCTAGTGAAAGGGAAATCTCAGCCATTTGAATTTGATGTTCGTGTCCCTTTCTTGGTGCGAGGACCTTTTGTTCCCAAAGGAGTAAGGTGAGTTTCTGATGTAGGTAGAACAAATTTTTATGTACTGTTTTAAGACCGGATTCTTTTGTTAAATTTTTGGCTTCAGTGCCTTTATCAACAAACAGCTTTCTGATATTAAGACTAAACATATTGATCTTCTTACTTAAGGTTTTAAATTATTTGGAATAAATTATGAAAGCATGTTCTTCTAAAGTATTTAATAAAACTCGACTTGTTAAACACCAATTAAATATCATTCTCTCTAACCATCTAGTAATTTTTTATTGTAATTGTCCCCTTGTGGGATAACAGTAAGTCTGTTACTTATAATTCTAAAATATGGGGTTCAATTCTCCACAGTGGATGTGACAGATGACCAGTGTGGCTTTGCCCAAAAAACAACAACATAAGAAACTTGTTGTAACTATTCCATTATTGTAATAAACTTAATTGCAAACTAAATCTTAATGTTTTTTTTTTTTCATTACAGGATTTCTGACATTGTCATTAATGTAGATTTGGCACCAACGTTTCTAGAATTGGGAGGAGTTGAAGTACCTAAACACATGGATGGGAAATCCATTGTTCCCCTTCTGAAAGATGCATATGAACAATTTAGGTAATTCATGAGCCTTTCTACTTCATGTTTACAATTTAACTTCATAAGTTATCAAATTATGATGGTGTAATGCATAAAACAGAAAAAAATTATTATTATCATTTTAAACTTTATTTTTAAAATTCTCTGGATGAAATCCTTAAAATCTATGTAAATACAAATTAGTTGGAAAATCAGTTTTAGACCTGTAAATATTTAGGATTCATTCAGTGTTAATGTTTTTTAATGGTGAATATATTTCATGTAATTATGTTTCTAGTAAATCAAAAGAAGTCTCTAAAGAAGTGAGACCAAAGAAAGGCTGGAGAGAGAGTTTTCTTATTGAAAGAGGGTAAGCATTTTACACTTTATAGCACTTTAATATTTTTATCTTAATAACACAATGATTAAGTAAATGTTGTGTTTATCACTACTTACAAATATTTATTATGGCTGATGATGATGTGTTGTTGGCCTTGTCTGATTGACTGGTCTGAGGAGTCTCGCAAAATCCTTAATCTGTTGGATTGAAGGGATCTTTCTTAACCATAGTCTTGTTTAGCTGGTTAGACAGTAACTCTAATTAGTCAGACTGATATTTGGTTATCATATAGTATGTTGATCAGAATATGTGGGCATACTAACTGTGAAAGTTGGCCAGAATAGTATTTTACAATCAAGCCTCCCAACAAATAATTATTTTGATGTTGTAAACATTGTGGTTGTTATATCCCTACTGCCTATTAGGATTGTATCAAAATATCTCACTTAATTAAGATATTCTAACTGAATGACTGGTATTGAGATATCCTAATTTAGTGACTGGTCAAGATGATATTTTTGAGCCTAGATCTATTGGAAGGATTGCCTGAACCATACAGTACCGATAGATTATCAAGATGATGCCTATTGGCTAGTTATGGTGATATCTTTGTGTTATTGATTGATTTGAATTCTGATAATATTCAAATACACTATTTTTGGCTGATGATTGTAATGTCTCAACAATCTAGTCCTATTTTTAAAAGATAAATGAAATGGTAAGTGTGTATACTCTAAAAATTTACTTCTAATAACAAGTTTAGTATGGATAGCTCGATATATCAATCCTGATGATAAGGATGATCAGATTTTTTTTCTAATATAGTTTTAAATGGTGTAATATTTGGATTTTTTTTGGAGGAGTACAAAGTAATAAACATACCATGTTTTATAAAAATTACTCATTTTAAAAAAGGGTTGATTTATTAAGGTGAACTTGTCAATATTGATATTTTAGTACAATTACTATTTAATAGCTTGCTGTTCTTTTTTTTATTTCAATCCCTTGCAGTGTACGTTTATAAAATAGAATTTTAAACTTTTTAAAAATGGATGACTGATTTTAAATTGGTTGAACTGTTCCAGTTTCTGCTTTTGTTTCTCAACAGTTTTAAACAGAAATGCAAGGTGAATAATTTTCATTAAAATTAACATATTCCATAATGGATGCCAATCCAAAATAAACATTAAAGGCATTGTAAGTATAATAGTCTATACTCTCTAATTATGAACTGTCGTTCATTTTTCCTTGCCAACTCTGGACGTGGCTTCAAGTGTAAGAAACTTTGAAAGAAGGGTAGTATACTTTCCTGTGCACTGTTACATTATATTATTATAGTTTTGTATTGTTTTTGGTTACTCTAAATTTGATGTAACCTGTGATGTTCACAGACCATTGAAAAAGGTGTAAGCTGAAATACCGGATAGAATAAATAAAAAGACAAACAGTTATCTTAAGTTGTCTGTTGTCTTCTTTGAATGTGAAGAAGGCAGGGTCTGGTGAACTTGGCGACTGCCCAGGGCACAAAAAGCCTTTCATTAAAAAATTAACAATTGCATGAATACAATTTTTAGGGCATGCCCACTAGTTTGTCTACAGTTCTTTAAGCATTATTTTTACACCTCACCCCCCACCCACACACAACATTTTATCAGTAGTATAGTTGAAGTTGTATAAAAATGTTGCGAATCTGGCGTGTGAAGTCAATGAAGAGAAGAAAAATGGAATAAAAATGTTGGAAATATATTATAGGGCAACAAATGCATATTCTGCCTGGGTTGCCATTTGGGCTAAGTCGGGTTCTGGAAGACTGGTAAACATAATATAAAAGGGTAGCTGTTTTATTTTTCTATAAAGAATGAATCAAGTAAGACACAAAATGAATGTCATTTAAAAAAGTTTTTTAGACTAAAATTTCCATGTTTTATATAGATAGAAGTCCATTTTATTTGTTCTTTGATTCAGGATTTTTAAATTTCCTAGGAAACTCACCAAGCTCTACAAAGACTTGGACTCTCTTCCAACTGTAAAACCAATGAAGAAAAGACAGTTGATTGCTGGTAATTGTGGAAAATCAGAATATTCATCTCCATGTAAGCCTTACCAGGTACTTCTTGATGTTAATTTGGCTGCTTTACAAGTATAACAGTGATTATATATGGTAAATTTACCTTTTGACAATACATTGAGTGTGTTAACACACACACTCAGGTTAAATTCTCCTCAAAAGTGGCTTTAATTTTTTTTATTGAGCAAAATGGGAGTAGCTAATTTCTACCAGCTTATAGCTTCTTATCACTTTTAATTTGTCTACTGTTGTTTTTACTATGCAGTTTTGTATATGTTAATTTAAACTTGATTCTCAAGTTATTATAATGATGATAAAAATAATTAATTCATATCTTGAACAGACGTGGGAATGTTTGCACGATGGTCAGCGTTGGCGGGTTCGTAAGTGCCGAAATAAGAAGAAGAAAAACTGCTGGTGTGAAGATGATGATGATGGTGTCTTTGCTGAGTACATTAGTAGAGCCTTGGATACCAAACAACATCTACAAAGTGATATTCCTTCTGATTTCCTGGGTATTGAAGGCAAGAAGGCAATGAAACCACAGGAAAGGCGTCTTCAGAGAAAATTCCTTAAAGAACACGTTAACCAAGGTTGTATTTTTCAGCTGTTTTTAATATGGCATAACTTTTTTTTATGGAACTGGTTACATTTTTTACTTCACTAAAATGTAGTATAAATGAAATGGACAAAATGTGTAATGAAGGTGAAACACTGCTTGAAATTAGTGTTGGCTTGCTGTAAAATGTCAGTGGGTTCTTTGGTTTAGTGAGTGACTATGGGGGTGATGCAGGCCATTAATTAGCCTGCTGGACTGTGGTTCCTTGGTTTGTGCTCCTTTACTACCATAAGAAAAAACAATAACAAAGAACAAAACATTTGAAATGGGCTGTGGGCATGTTTGAAAAATAATTGACAAATGGTCTTGACTAGCTGCCTTCTCTTTAGTCTATTGCTTGAAACTTCTATCACATATAAATAACCAGTGCATACTAAACACTTCATAATACACACTGACACTATTCAGTATTATATTTTACAAGCTGAGGTACCCTTCCTTTGTCCAGGTTATGTGGGGTGGATTCTATGATAAATAACACAAAAGTCCTAACTTTCACACACACATATATTATTACAGTATGTGCTTTCTGCTACCCACTTTTAATACCCAGCTCTTAATGTTCTTCAATAGTGTTTCACATGATTAATTAATTGATGGTCATTGGTCTTATGGGCCGAAGTTGAAAGGTCATGGGTCAAAGTAGGAAGTGAGTATAACTCAAGAAATGGCTATTCATATCAGCCGTATTGTGGCTGTTGGAGTAGAAACTTCAGCTGAGATTATGTATTATTGCAATAGTGGCAGCCATTTCTTTTCATTGCATTCCTCTATAGCGAATGCTAGCTCACTGTCTGAGATATGCAAGATGCTTGTGTAGCCTCCCCCACATTATGTGTATGTTGTGTTATAGAAAGTTTAATAAACTCCTTGAAAAGGGTTAGAAGTTTTCTGCTTTGTAGAAATTGTTCACAAATTGGTTGCAAAGTTGAAAACAACTGATTAATTGTAATATAGCACAAACACAGACATGTAAGGTACTATGGGGGTTATTTGATGTCAAATATGTCAACAATACTGCTCCAACTAAACAACACAGTATTTTGTTACTAAGAATGTTAAATTGAACTCGGTAAAAAAGCACATGAAGTGTCATGCTCATATAAGTAAACTTCTTGCTCACCTTACAGCAGGAAGCTAAAAAAAGAAATGAGCCAGGAGATTCAGAAAAAGACCTGGAAAAAAATGGACTCTTGACTCTTTTATCAAACAACAACAGTTATTCAGGTCAGCCTCTACATAGCTATCAATTAGAGGCCATTTACTGACTTCCCAAAATTAACTGAATGGCACATATATATAGCATGGGCAGAACCTACTGCACTAATAAAGCAAGAAGGATACTCATCATGATAATTACAACAACAGTTATATGCTGCTGACTTCTTTTTTGTGATGATTTATAGTAGCATAGACAGAAGTGACATATAAACAAATTAACTGTGTATGTTTGTATGATAAAAAAAATAGTTTATCAACATATTGTGTACCTCAAGCTTGTGGACGTGTGTGTGTGTGTGTGTGTGTGTATATATGTATATATATATATGTATATATATATGTATATGTATATATATATGTATATGTATATATATGTATATATATATATGTATATGTAT